AGCTGGAGCTACAGGGAGATCCTGTCTTAAAAAGACCAAAAATAATAATAATAATAAAAAAAAAAAACCTCAGCTAAAGATAAGGATATAACCTTTAGTTGGGGTCACAAGGTATTTGAAAACAGATTAGCATATCTGACTGAAAAACACTTCTTTCTGGTATGTGATATATGTAAATGTAGACATGTATATTGATAACACAGCTGTTTTCTAAAAATTAAAAACAACATAAAAATTTAATGTGCTACAGGCTGTTTTCCCTGATTGCTCTTCCTCCTCTTATAGTTATTATTTCTATTGTTTAGAGCTTTTTTATAGAGAGATTATTTTATGCTCACTTACTATGCCATATGTATTAACCATTCACTTTAGAACAACAACTTCTCCATAGGAATGGAGCTTTTGCTAAGCAGAAGGCAAACACATAACTTGGATGCAGACACTTTGCCTCTGTGTGGACAGAAAAAAGTTCCAAACTGAACTGCATGTATAGCGGTGATAAAAAAGAAGTAAAATATAGTTGCTGAAAAGAAATAGTCTCACAGAAAAATGGCCTTTGTACTTTCAGAAATGCACCAGTCTGTCCTGGTATCTTCACAGAAACTGAGGAGACACTGCTTTAAGGTAAGTCAAGTGAAGATGCAAATGCACTAACATGGGGTGTGAAAGGCTCTCACTGGCACTAGATTCTGAAGGAAAGATGGGTGTGGCTTAAAGAGGGGTGGATGTGTGAATCCATAAATTATGATAATGGAAGCTTCATAACTAGTAGAGGTCTGCAGCAAGACCTGATGTGGCGGTATCCTGGCCTAGGGTTTACAGGCATGTGTGTCACCACTGGAAGGGGAGCTACCTCCTGAGTATCCTTGTGTACAGAGTGCAATCCCAGAATTCTGAAGGAAGCAGTGTCTATGAAGACAGGCAGTGTGCGACCATCCTCTCTAAGATTCTGCCCTATTACCCCATTTCTCTTTACTCACCCTGTGTTTGCCAAAGCACATACCAAAAATGAAGTTACAGTCTGTATTGTTTGGGTCACTTTTCTGAGTCCCATTCGAATCTGAGCTTCATGTGGATAAGATTTGTCTCACTCATTTGTGTATTTTTAGCATCTTGAACAAAATGAATAGTTGTTGAAGATACAAACGACAGAGTTTCCCAGTTCATCAGCCCTTTCCTGCCTGCCTTATCTCCTCAATGTACCCTGAGTCACCTTCATTTCATCAATATCCCCTGAGCAGCCTCCTTGGTCACCTGCAATCCTTTTTCAAACATTTCATCATTTGAAATGCACCTGTGTCTGTCTCTACACACACACGTGGATGCAGGAACAAATATGTATACACACACATGTTGGCACACATGGGAACACACACCCAAAGGTGGGAACACACACACACACACACACACACACACACACACACACCTTTTTTGCTCAGGCTTTTACTGCACTCATTCTCCTGCTACTGAAAACACAGAACACATGGAAAAGAAATAAACATTCATCACTATGCCAGATAGTTCTACAAAACTACCGCATCCTTAGTATAAGCTCACATAAAGCTAGTTTTGTTACCTCCCCACTAGGTACATACATGCAAACTTACATAGGTTTTGCACCATGCTAAACCACTTTCCAACCTCCGTTGAGGCAGTATTGTCCCCTCCTGTCCAGTGCTTATTTCTCTCTGTGCTCTGGAGTTTGTTCCTTTCTACTTTCTCAGACACATGCTTTCTCTCCCATACGTCTAACACGCCTTCCTCCTTTTGGATCTTTCCAATGAAACATGGATAGATGTCTATTCATAGGAATAGTCTCCTTAGAGTGACTGCTAATGAGTACAAAGATTTCTTCTGTAGGGACAAAAATGTTCTTAGAGTACATTGTGGTGATGCTTATACAACTTTATAAATATACTAAATTGTATACTTTCTTTTTTGTGACATTTTATTTGTATATTTTTAATGTTTTTATCTGTATGAGTGTATTGCCTGCATGCATGTAAGTGTACTCGTAGTTAACACCCATGGAGGTCAGGAGAGGGCATCGAATTCCCCTGGAACTGGAGTTAAGGATGGCTGTTAGCCACCATATGGGTGCCGAGAATTAAACCCAGGTCCTCTGCAAGAGTAGTCAATGCTCTTAACTGCTGAGCCATCTCCCCAGCCCCTAAACTGTATACTTTCAAGAAGTGAATTGTATCATATGTGAATTGTATCTCAATAAAAGTATTAAAAACTCTCCCTTATAGCTGTGGAGAAAGCTTTTTGAATTAAACCTATATGTTTATATCAATAATACTAAGTAACAAGAAGATATATTCTCATTTCAAGAATATCATGTAGTTAACATACTTAGAAAACCATAGGCATGTTTACTTAAATGAATGCAGAATCTAATACATAGTATACAACATATATGCATGCAATTGCTCTGGGTACTCCAAACTGAAAGCAATGATTTGAACAGATATGTGTGTACCAAAGCTATCTTACATAAGAGCCAAATGGCAAGAATAATTGAAAACGTCCATGGATGGATGACAGATAAACAAAACATGGTATGCACATATATTTTTTCAGTCCTACAAAGGAAGAAAAACTCTGACACATGCTACAAGATGGATGAACCTTAAAGATACAATGCTTTATGTATGGAAAATATTCCATACATAAAGGAATAAATATTGTACGGTTCTTGCTCATATGAGGTACCCAGAACAATTCAATTCATATGTAAAGAAATACAGTAGTGATTATCAGGGACATAGGAGAGGATGACTATTGTTTGTTTAATGTATAGACAGCTTCAGTTTGGGAAGATGAAAATTTTCTGTACACGAATACTACCAAGATACACAGGGAAGTCCTCTAGATGCTGCTGCTAATGTGGCACAGGTAGTCACATATTCCCATGCATATTCAGTCTACCAGACACACTAACCACACTGCAAGAGCACATGTGGGCCAGGCTGTGAGATCATAGTACGGAGCAAGTACTTCTGTCCCTGTCAAAAGTTGTGTTGGCACTCCTCTAGACTTCACTATAATAAAATATAGTAACTTTTTTGGAAATCGTTGGTATATGGGGGTGTCAATCCAGAATGAAAATAGCCAATTATACTGAATAAGAAGGTAAAGAGGATGCTACCAGCTATGACAGACACAGGTTAAAAGTCATCTTTGGGATGTAAATTACAGCATAAGCTTCAATGACATGAAAGGCAGAGCCAGTTATATCATTTTGGACACAACAAGAATAGCTTAAAGATGGCATCCTACTCTGCATATTTATAGCAACTCTATGGAATTTTGAAATTTAGACTACAGAGACTATACATAAATCATATGCTGGTATGTTAAATAAAAAAATGTGTATACAACCTATTGTAGGGGCTGGAGTGATGGCTCAGTGGTTAAGAGCACTTACTGTTCTTCCAGAGAACTTGGATTTGGTTCCCAGCACCCACATGGCAGCTAACACCCATCCATAACTTCAGTTCCATGGGATCCAAGTCCTCTTCTGGCCTCCATGGGCAGCAGGCACACATGTGGTGCATTTACATACACACAGACAAAACATTCATACACATGAAATAAAAATAACTAAAATCTTAAATCATTTGTGAAATTTAAGTTCAGTTATGAACCAGCTATGCATAAAAATAAATAATTATTACAAGGGAGTATGAAAAAGGAAAAACAGGCTGAATGTTTGTTGAAGAATTTTTAGCATATAACAGAATAAAGTACCACATTTCAAATACTGTTAAAAAAGTAAAGTCCACTTATTCATTTGTGTGTGTATATGTACAAGCATGTGTGAGTGTATGCATGTCACATAAAGGTCAGAGGACAACATGTAGGAACTGGTTTTCTACTTCTACCAGACTGACTTTTGATATTCTATTCAAAGAACTAAATTATGTACTGTTCAATAATATCACTTATATATTACTCTGACCTCAGTTTTAGAGAGCCCTATGATGTTCTGAATCATATTGTCAATAGTTCATATAGTCTCCATAGTTTTTAAAATATGAAAAACTGAAACTCAGAATTGGCACAATTTAGGGTCAAAGAGACTTAGTACACAATGCTTTTGCTTATGCACTGACTTTTCTAGCCATAAGTCAAGTAATAATAAGCCAGTTTATTTCAATATGTATTTATATACTTTCAACATAATCAGGTCCTAGAATTACAATCAGTATAGCAAGTCCTGGTGGAAATAGGAAATCTTATATATCACAAATAATATAGACTTCAAATATATACCTGCCCCTAGGCATCAACATCCTTGGCTTCTTAGTTAGTCCTTCTGTTCTAAAAGTACATAGATGCTTGAGGTTGTATCTGTTTGATTATATAATTTTTCATATGAGGCACAACACATTTGGGGGGTATATAATTGATTAGAAATATTTAAAAAAGCAACACCTTCTTCAGAATTTTAGGTGAATATTCTATTTGCCAAGACTCTGTTTTGAGTATTTTATACCTTGGAAAATACATGACAAGGATAAAGCAAGTCTCATTTCCATTTAACACTAAGCTTGGTGACAGAAAAGCTTCAGGCTTCAACCCCAGTTTTAACTACTATGCAGTTGTTCATATACTTATGTATTATATAGAAATGTTTTATTACATTTTGACTTATGCTTACAATCATATTTATTTGGTAGATAAATTACTAGTTTCCTAATATTTAAAAACCATGTGTCTAAGTCTCCAAATCTATAAAAATTAAAAATATGATTTTATCACTTAATAGGTTAAAATGATAAAAGCTCTCATTTTATACCTAGTCAAACATCATGCTGGGGCAAAGTTCTGGGTTCAAGCCCCCAATAGGTGATTCACTGACAGTTTGCCCTGCTTAAGTCTTCCCACTATGCTCTACCCTCTCCAACAGTAAACTGAAGGACAGGGAATGATATCAATACCACCTGGCTGTAAGACTCTCCATTATTGGTTTTGGTTTAAGTCAGAGGACTTACCTCTCTCAACACCGGGTCAGTTATTGAGTTCAGGTTAACTGCTCCTTCATAGGTCAGGTAATAGAACACATTGAGGGCACGCACAGCCTCTGGTCCTTGCTGTTTATAGCCAAAAATGAGATCAATCCATTGGTGAAGCTGGCAGGAAACGAATTCACTCTCCAGGGCCTGAAAAACCAGTACAGTGTGCATCACTACACTGCATTCTAATTTTAAAACATAGACATTTAGAACAAACAGTAAATTTACTTTAAAAACCAGAAAACCTGAAAGCCCAAGTGTGGCGGTATGCAGCAGTAATCCTAGCTACTTGAGAAGCTGAGGTGGGAGGGTCACAAGCTTTAGGCCAGTCTGGGTAACTCAATGTGACCTAGTCTTAAAAAAACAAACAAAAACCCAGGGTTGGAGGATGGCTCAGTAAAGTGCTTGTTGTTAAAGCATGAGAATCTAAATTCAATCCCTGGTACCCATGTTAAAAGCCGGGTGTGGTGGTACAGAGCTGGGGAGACAGGAGGATACTAGTAACTCACTGCCTAGGTAGTCTAGTTGAATCTGCAAGCTACAGATTCGGTGAAAGTTCTTGTCTCAAAAACTAAGGTGAAGAGCTAGGTGTGGCAGCACACCTTTCATCCCAGCACTCAAGATGCAAAGGCAGGGAGATCTCTGTGAGTTCGAGGCCAGCCTGGTATACATAGCAAGTTCCATGCCAGCTAGGGCTACAGGGAGACCTTGTCTCAACAACAACCCCCGCCCCAAAACCAACTAAGGTGGGGAGTAATTGAGGAAGACATCTGAAATTGACTACTGGTACACATACCCCCCCACACACACACGAGATGTGGGGAGTAATTGAGGAAGACACCTGACATTGACTACTGGTACACATAACACACACACACACACACACACACACACACACACA